TTGATGACTTTGATGTTATGCAACATATTGTATTCTATTTTCAAACAAAAATAAATTTCAAAGATCATAAAATGAACTGTAAACATCCTATTGAAAAGTATCAAATAAATGGTGAAGTGAAACCCATATTTTTATAATTAATTAGTTAGCTAAATAAAAATTTCTTCTTTCTAGAATGCTTTAAATCATCGCGAATTGCAACTTTTAAGTAAATTATGAATGCGTTTTAATATTTTTGTAAATATCTTTATCCAAATACGTAAAGTGAAAGCACAACTATTTTGTTGGTATGCTGGTTTTTGAAACCAGTAAAATCTTTAATGTAATTAATGTCGACTCCTTTTCTGTAGAGTGACATTCTCCTAAATAACATTGTTTCACAACTGTCATTTCCTTTATGTTTGATGAGTTGAATTAGTAACAGTAACGGCAACGGTAATGTGTAATTTTAATAAGCACAACAATACAGTACGTATGTGTAGTACGTTAAGCAGTACATGCATTGCACATGTACTGTATCTACGTTAAGATCGAGATATTAATGCTTTAGTACGCCAAAAAATTAGTGTTTGTAATTTGTGCAACACAGTATTATACGTAATTACGTACAGTAATTCGTTATCCAGAAACTTTATCGTTACATGTATAAAAAAGTTTGTGGTGTTCAGGTATGATAGTTTCGTAACCAATCTAATTGGATTGGGTAATACTTTTTAGTTTAGTGCGTAAAGAAATTCTAAAAACTATAAAAAGTTTGTGGTATTCGTGATAAATAATTGAAAATGGGTTGTTTTTGCTCTAGACGCTATTATGAAGAGGAAGATGGAAAAATGAGATTTCGCATTATCGGTGGCAGACGATATCATAACATTTTGACTTCAGAGTATTTTGGAGCAAATGATGACGAAGAAGCTTATCGGTTAAGTAGATATCATAATGGTAAAAAGCTTTGCTTTAAAATTATATTGAGCTTTTTTTATAGAAAATTCTATGATTTATAATAATGTAATAATATACAAATTTAGCAATAAAAGATATTTGGGGAGGATTGTTTCATTCACCTATCGAAGAGAAGTTGAAACAAGGAGCTCATGTTATTGATTTTGGGTATGCATTGAACTATATTGATTTTAAATATGCTATTAAAATTGGCATCTTTTTTTTAATATAAAAATAATAAATAGATGTGGGACTGGAATTTGGATCTTGGTAAACAGAATTTATTCTCTTTATTAGATATGGCTGTATTTGAATAATTTAAATCAATATGTTGGTTCGTAAAAAATAGGATATGGCAAAACAGTATCCCAATTCAAAGTTTGTAGGAATAGACTTATCTCCAATTTTTCCAACAGAAGATCTTCCTTCAAATGTGGAGTTTGTCCAGTATAATGTGTTGGATGTATTGCCATATGAAGATGCGTCTTTCGATTTCGTTCACCAAAAATTTTTGGTTGTTGCTTTTACGGAAACACAATGGGAAGAGAAAGTTATCCCAGAAATGATAAGATTGGCTCGACCAGGTGGATGGGTCGAGTTATTAGAAGCTGATGCTTATCTTACCTCTGATGGAAAGGCTACAAATAGAATTGCAAAAGCTCGTAAGTAAACCTATCTTTTTCCATCTTTTTACAATTGAACTAACAGATTGATTTTTTTAGTCAATAAGTTTATGACAGCGAAGGGAATGAACTGTACAATTGGGAAAAAACTTCAACGCATTCTTGAAAACACAAACACGTTTTCGGAAATCACAAGTAATAAAAAAGCTGTAGTTTTAGGTAAAAAAGGCGGTGAATCGGGGCAAGAGGTAAATATGAAATTAATGAATTTATTGGCAAAAATGCAATATTTTAAGCTTTACCTAAAAATACTCTTTTTTACTTGCTTGCACACATAGACTCTAAAATTTTATACTGTTGGTGTCGGCTCTTGTAGAGGCTTTTTATCGACCGAGATGAATATAATGCCCGAACATTTTGATGCTCTTATGGAAACAATTTCTATCGAGGCGGAACAAACTACTTCTTGTTTTAATCAATATCGAATTTGTGGTCATAAGAAGATTGAGATTTAATATATATCGCAACTTGTGACTTTTTTTCAAGAAAACGTATTGAATCGAGGATATATATATAAACTTTGCGGTTTATATATAGACTTTTTTATTTATCGCAATACGGTTTACACCTATTTTATTTATGAATTTCGATAAAGACATTCATCGTGTAGAGTACTGTTTAAATACCGCCCCCTCCGATAAAGTGCCCGTCACCATTTTGCCTAATATTATTACTAACCTAGTGAGTTGAATACATGTATATGATTTCGAGTATTTTAAACAGCACTCTACGCAGTTGAATAAAAAAATCCATTATATTTATTGACTAAAAATTATAGTTCGAATTAAGAATTGAAGTATATTCTCAAACTGAAAATAGAAGTAGTAAAATCGATTCTATCTTTCTTTGATTAAATACTTAGTGGCGCAGTTTCGTATTCGAAAAGAGTGTTGCCGGAAATTAAAATACTAAGTTAAGAATAACGATGAACACTAAAAACTAATACATGTATATAGATAGTATTTATATGGTTCAAACGGTCTAAAGACATCCAATATATCCAATACTTAAACTGTAAAGGATTTGCATTCAAATACCTTAACCACAAAAAATACGTTCTAAATAACCTTTGTTGAGAACTACAACATAACGTATTTTTCTTGTGATTCAAGTGTTTGGATACAAATCCTTTATAGCTTTAGGTATTTGATATATTGGATATCTTTAGACTGTTTGCACCATATTACATGTATCATGATCATCTTGAGTCCATCTTAACGCGAACATACCAATGATTCTTCCTCACGTGACTTTATTGACGAAGTTGTCACGAAACCAATAACGATAAGGTTTTGATACAAGAAAATGGAAAATGCAAAAACATGAGAAACTGATGCCTTAATTAATAATCAAATATGTCGGAAAGGCAATTTTACATATAAATTTGACTCTTACTCTATGATCCTAACCTTTAATTATTGCGGAATTTTTCGGGTGATTGCCAGTTAAAAAATAATCGATTGTGAAAGTTGGTACAAGGACATTTCTGGCCTAAAAAAACAAGTGTAAATGAAGATTATAAAAAAAAAATCACATAAATAATAGAGATTAGCAATAGTAATACCCAAATTAGTTTGTATATTTAAATAACAAATATCGATATATTAGAAAAATAATTGGCTTAAATGTGAATCAAGACAGTTTCTTTAATCTTTCAGAAGAGACGGATGTGCAAGAATTTGGTTGTTTCAATTCTGGAGTAAAAATTACTGTACATAAAATCACACATATGTTTATAAACATACAATGCGAAATTCTGTTTTTTTGGGAAACGACTCTTTCAAAATAGAATCTATTAACAAATGTGATAGAAATTAGGCAAATTATAATTGCACCCCATTTATATCTTCGATATTTTAAAGAAATACCAGTTTAAATTCAAAATTTAATCGGTTGATATAATAAATTAGAATTTCACCTGTCATATTAATAAATCAAATTGTGAATTAAGACAACACACTGTTCTATTAGAATTGATTTCAATCTCAAATTAAGACTTTAAACAGCAGTTGCAATCTAATTTTAATTGATTGTATTCACTATACAATCAATTAAGATGAGTAATTTAAGCCATGTAAAAAATAAATTATAAAACATAATTATTGACGAATTCGCTATAACTTTTCAAATAGATATTTGTATTATACATAACATCTAAAGCCATCAAAAGTTTGCATTTTATAAAATGTATAAACTTCTCAACTGAGAAAATTTAATCCGTGAATATGATAAAATAAGCCACTTTCTGAGCATATTTACGGATTAAATATTGTATTTACTTCTTAGTTGAGAAGTTTATTAAAATACAACGTTTGATGACTTTATGCACCAGAGATTTCGAGCTGTATTGTTGAATTTGATCGAGTGAAGAGTACAGACCCACAATGATCACGTGAATGTTGATCATATTTCGCAGACATGATTAGTTCATTTTATTACTCTTAGAGTAGACCCTAAATACCGTAAAACGCTCTGTATAGTACCCCCCCCTTGTAAAGTACTTTCCGGTTTATGCACGGATATTTTTATGGTGCGTATTTTTATTTATAGATTTGTATCACTTAAAT